GTCATACACACGCATCCTTTTGTAGAACACAATTAAACGATAACATAAAACACAACATTTAAATCATTATAGCTTTTTAAACAGTAGAAGCCCCCAGAGGCAGATGGGAAAACTCCAAATCAAGAGCAAAAACAGCTGGGCTGATTCATGTTGGCCTTTGTATTCTGTGATCATTGAAAAATACTTCAAATTCACCCATGCTAATTGAAGAGCAAATCCTTGTGGAATATTTGACTATGCAGCCTTAGTCAATTATATTGTGATAAAGCACCAATCTATCTGGCAAGAAAGTGAAATATAGAATGCATTTAAGTTTAAAGAGGGTTTAGGTAGAGTTTGGTTATCAAAGCAGTTACATAATTAGGTAATGGGCCACAAAGGGCTTGGTTAACGAAGAAGCTAGTTAAGGCTTGAATAAGAAAGAAGTCAAATAGGGCTTGGCTAGGTAAGTGGTCAGTTAGGTTTGCCTTATCACTAGTTTGTCAGTCAGAATTAATCTGTGTGTTTTCCTCAGCTGGGGCGTGGGACGTGGTGGCACTGGGGGTTAAACTGCAAAGCCTCTAGGCTGCAAGGTAGTAAGATCAGCAGTTCAAATCCATGTGACAGAGTGAGCTCCCGTTGCTTGTCCCAGCTGCTGCCAACTTCGCAGTTCAAAAGCATGTAAAAATGTGAGTAGATAAATAGGTACCACCATGGTGGGAAGGTAATGGCATTCCGTGTCTAGTTGTGCTGGCCACGTGATCACGGAAACTGTCTATGGAGAAATGCTGGCTCTACGGTTTAGAGACGGGGATGACCACTGGCCCCTAGAGTCGGACACGACTGGACAAATTGTCAAGGGGAACCTTCCTCAGCTGAGAATAAATCCTAAGGGACTAAGATTGTTTTTGATAGTGTTATTAAAAGAAAGAGCTATTTTAGGAAGATGTTGCTTTTTATCCAGTAGCATGTTGGTTGACAACCTGTTGGTACACTCAGACCATGACTCTGTTATGAAATAAGCACTATGCCTTTAAACAGAGCAACCACTAAGCTTTTTCCTTTATCAAGAGTTCTGGGGAAAAAGCCTGTTTCAATTCTAGAATCTGCCTTAGTTTATATTTATACACAAGTCAGAGGATAATGGGTGTAAAGGAAACAAATAACGATTAAATGTCATCAGGCATAAATGGTAAGCTAGGAACAATATAAATTGCTGTCATTTACCAGAGTAAACACAGACAATGTATAAAGTTTTATCACTCCTGTTCTCATTGCCTACCTCCCACCATCAATAAGAGAATGTCACAGGCAATTTGCCAGGAAGACAAACAAGTGGGTCCTAGAGCAAATCAAGCCTGAACTGTCTCCGGGATCCAAAATGTTGAAGCTAAGCCTGTCCTAATTTGGGCACATCGAGGCGTTTCTGGAAAAGACAAAGATACTGAGAAAGATGGGAGGCAACGGGAAAAGAGGAAGAGCCAATGTGAGATGGACTGATTCCCTAGAGGAAAACACAGGCTTGAGTCTGCAAGAGCCAAGGAGGACAGTTGAATACAGGGCATTTTGGAGATTGCTCATTCATAGGGCTGACATAAGTCAGAAGTGACTTAATGGCACCTAACAACATTTTTTTCTTTAAAAAGGGAACAGAGTATAGAAAAGTTACTTTTAAAGACTACATCTCCCAGAATGCCCCAGCCAGCATGGGCAGGGGATCCTGCTTTGTTGCATTTGATCATCCTCCATCACTGAAAATGCAGGATTTTGTTCTGGCAAGCGCGGAGGCGAACTATGGGCATCAAACCAAGTTATTAATCAAGGCATGGCAACTATGCTTTTGTCATGAGTGATGACTTCACATCTCCTTCAGGGCCATATGGGAGTGTGCTTCGTAAAAGATGCCAGACCTTCTGTGTGTGTGTGTGTGTTCAAGAGAGGAGTGGCTCTCTGCCTACAAATCAGGAAAACGGCCAGCAATCATCTCTTGAGGGTTAGCAATTGGAGCTTTGTGAAGATGAGCTGCATGAGCACACACACTCAAACACACACACACACACACACACACACACACACACACACACACACACACACACACAGAGTTAGGATGTGTGTAGAGGAGCACAAATATTGGTTGCAGAAAGAGAGAGAGAAGGAAATGCAGAAGCAAAGAGATATAAGGATGAGCTGAAGAATGAAGCATGTTGGGGTCCAGGATATAGTGTAAGAAAGTGAAACTATCTCACTCTTGGTCTCATCATGTCTCTTTGAGTTCCACAGGAGTGCCATAGGAGTTTCTGAAGAAAGCACTGTTAGCTCTCTGCCTCCTCCTTCAGACCCCGTTTTGGGCACAGAATGATCCAGAACATGGGACTCTACTAGATGATTATGATCGTTTTGCCCTGAAAAAAGTCTAGAGTTGTGCATGGGGGGGGCGGTGAGGATCCGACATGAGACAGTAGATCTTCCGCTTGACAGGAGGCCATTGGCTGATTGCCTTCTCTTATGTTCTACTTGCTTGTTTATAAATACTGTAAAGTACACATTGTAAAAGCACTCCTAATTCTGCAGCACCCTCTTTTTATAATGGATACCTAACTTCCTACTATTTTCTCAGGATTTTTTCACCAGCTGGAGAAACTTCTTTTATGTGCTGTCCAGTGACACTTGATGTAAAGCAACTCTAATTGGGGTTTTAATATATATGACATATTTAAAGAGTGGTCCCACTCCTGCCAGCACCAGTGAGTTCCCATGGCCAAGGGGAAACTCAAATCCAGTCCTCCTGAGTCCCAGTCCATTATTCTATCCATTGTACCACACCTTCTATCTGCTTGAGGAAAAAAGGGAGCATTGAATGGTAGTTTCATTAGATTAAAAAAAAGCGAAGCCAAGTGTGCTGCTTATATACCGCCCCATAGTGCTTCAAGCACTCTCTGGGCGGTTTAGAAGTTATGCAGGCTACACATTGCTAGTGTAGACACCTATTGTTATGATTTTTATGGACTTATGGTAGTTATTGGGAGGCTGGTGTCAGCTTAGAATACTGGTGGCAACCTTTCCGTCTGGAGGAATTGAACTGAAGGAAACGTTTCTTCAGGGGAAGGGTTGAGGGACCCCTTTTGTTTATGCCTTGCTGGCAAGAAGCCACTTCAGAGTCGGGGGATCAGTGTTAATTTCTAGGAACTGTGAATAATTTCATGAAAGTCAGCTCAGACGTCAGTCTCAGTGGACAGATATGGAGTGGGTGGGTCATTGTAGGGTTAAAAATAAGCATGTGCATAAATTTTGTTCCACTTTTGGCTCAGCATGTTTTTGTGTATGCATTATGTGTTTGTTAGGGCTGTAAAGAAATCATGGTTAATTACTCATTCTCAGTGAGGTAGGGTGTGAGATATCCTACTTCTGGCATGAAAACAAGTGCCTTTTTATCAGTTGAGATTTCTGCAGTTTGTTAAAAGGTCTTTTGTCAAAACCAGTATCTTTCCCCTTTGTGAAGCAAAATGCACACACACACACACACACACACACACAGAGAGAGAGAGAGAGAGAGAGAGAGAGATCAGGGAAACACTGGTTCATTGCACTAGACACAAGCAACCCATTCCATGCTTCTAAAATCCATGCGACAAGGCATATGCAGAATTGCCTGATTCATGCAGAGATTGTTCTTGCAAATGTGAGAGCTCTAGTTGTAGAGGCTGAAAGAAAAGATTTCATCTTCAGACACATTATGAAAAAAATCTTGCAGTTTCTTGTTCTCAGGTGTCCGAAAGAGGTGAGCAAGAATTTCCTTCCCTACCGATTATGACCATGTTTTATCTATTTAAGATTGATTGTGTGGGTACATGAACAGATATCCTGTATTTGCTGGCGTACAAGACTATTTTTTTGCCCTGAAAAACATGCCATCAAGTGTGGGGGGTCGTCTTATACGCCAGGTGCACTTCAGTTGGAATAGACATACAGTAGCTGCCCATAGTGGCCTTCCGATGCTCGCCCAGTGCCCATAGTAGCCTCCCGATGCCTGCCCACCTCATTCTACATACTGTCCAGTATTGCGTGGTATCCAGCATGGCCGCGGAGAGCATCAGCAGCGAGATGGGTGCTGGCCTTTTTGATGTAACCGGCCCATTCTGCTCGGCGGGAAGCAGCGGTGCTCCAGCCCGCCCCTTGTCTACACAGAGCTCACACATGCGCACTTGCACACTAGTGCCGGTCACAGGGAGATGCAGGGGCAGGCCGGAGGCGCTGCGGTCACGCTGTGGCCGTAGAATGGTGACAATGAATAGCACCTTTTATTTGGTGTGTGGAAGGTGTGTGGAAGAGGGGGTAGTCTTATATGGCGAGTATATAACAAACTCTATATTTCGAGTGGAAATGTTGGGGGGGTTGTCTTCTACGCCCAGTCGTCTTATACGCTGGCAAATATGGGTAAGCATTTTTAATGGTGTCTGTGTGTGAGTGTGTGTGTGAGTGAGTGTTGGGACAACCACTCCATTCATCTGAAGAAATATGGTTAGACTCATGAAAGCTTATGAAAAATAAAAAACAGTATTTTATACAGTACGTCTTTGCAGCCCTAAATGGTTACATGAAAGCTTATGAAAAATAAAAACCAGTATTTTATACAGTACGTCTTTGCAGCTCTAAATGGTTGCAACAGATTTAAAACAGTTACCTGTCACATTATCTTTTCTACATGTTAATTTGTGTCTGTATGCAGGTGTTTCCATAATACAGGTGAGAAGCTAACTGTGTGATGTGTTTATTATCAGCAGAAACTGATGCAAGTGTCTGTGTCATGTGCTGATGCGTATGAGTGTCAAATCCCCCTCCCCCCCAAGAAAAAAAACCTTATCTTGTGAAAAGGTTGGCCTGGAACCTGTTACCGCATAGGGAAGGAGATGTGTCTAAACCATTTTGATGCTGTAATTTTATATCTCTGCTTATTAAGACCTGTTCCATTCAGCGCCACTGATGACTGATTTTTTTCCTCCTCTCCTTTTTGAAAAAAACAGGTTCAAAGACCAGGGACGGAGTTGTTCATGGGGTCACAACAGGTAATGCGTTTCTCTTTCTAAATCCATGAGAAATCTCCTGTCAGTTCTTTCAAGGAGCCTTTATCTCTGAGTAGGCACTGATTCATGTTTGTGAGTGGGTGGGTATTGAAATCAAGTGTGATGGAAAGCACGTAGTTAGTCTCACTGGGGAACAGACGTGCCTGTAGATAAAACTTTTAAGGATTTTAGATGTGCCTGTAGATAAAACTTTTAAGGATTTTAATCTACTTTACGATTCTAGTTGTACTAAATTAAAACACACACACGGACTTCACATGTCATTGCCCATGGCAAATCCTCAGCTAGCAACATAATTGGGACAGATAGTTTTGGGCCAGAGGTGATGGGGCCTGTTCACATTTAGCTATTCTGTTGTGCCTTGGGTAAGCACAGCAGTATGGATCAGGATGCACCTTATCCTTAGATGGATGACTTTTTCCTATTGCTTGAAAAATGTTACTTTTAAAAACTGTTGCTTCTGAACACCCTGACCAGCATGTGGCCCCTGGCAATACTGGCTGGGTGACCCTGAAAGCTTCTGTCTAAAAAAGATAATTTTTCTAGGCTCTACTTTTTTTCCATTGCTGGATTAGCATTATTTATAGATTCAGGTCTTTTACATATGACTGCAAAATATTTTGTAAGGAGCTCTATAGGTTGCTTTCCAGTGACTCCTATCCTTTCAAAGCATGGATACAACGGCTGGGTTTTAAAGCATGGAGGCCAAGACTGGGGCACTCCCTCCTATAGAAATCAGTGGCTCCTATTAAGAATCAAAGCTCCTTTAAGAAGCTCAAAACAGTAGCTGTGTTTTATTATTTAAGAGGTATACAGAGTTCAGTTTTTGTGTCATGGTCACAAGTGCATAATTTCATTAAGATTGCAAGAAGCAATGGTACAACTCCCTTTTCTTCTACATTTTCCCGCAAGTGCAGATTAAATTCCTTTAAAACCTTGCACAAATCCACTCTCAGCAGTATAATAAAAGCCACTTCTTCAGTGACAACGCTAGGTTTGCTGCACAGAAAAGCTCAAGGTCTTTCTGAGCTAGTTTTTCAAGCACCCTTTTGTGTGTCTGATCAGGAGGAGAGGGCCTCTGTCTGCTCAGGCATGGCCATTTATTGCTAAGATATGTTGTGTAAAGCTTAGGAAATAATGTCTGAATAGGGTGGTCCTGGGCTAACTGTGGTTTTGTTGTTGTTTAGTCGTTTAGTCGTGTCCGACTCACGCCAGGGGTCCTCAAAATGGCTCTCAGAGTGGCTGAGCAGGCCGAAACCTGCTTGTGGAACACCTGAAACTGGTGCTTTTTTATTTCGTTAATTGAGAGGATGTCAGTAACAACAACTATATTAACGTTGGTCTCGGGCATTTACTTTCTGAGTCCCCATCAAAGGATCTCAAAGTGCAGGCAGCTAAAGAGGCTGCTTAAAACTGATACTTTAAATCAGCCACCCTCAAGGGTGGGCACATGGCTCCTTGGGGCCCCCTGGCACATTGAAGGGGGCCACAGACTAGAGCTCCCCTCCCCACATGCCACTTAATAAGGAGCCTTGTGGCACGGGGTGAAACTGCGGTACTGCAGCCAAAGCTGTGCTCACAACACAGGTTCAATCCCAGGAAGTCAACTCAGGGTTCACTCAGCCTTCCAGCCTTCCTTCTGAGGTCAGTAAGTTGAGTGCCCTGCTTGTTAGAGATGCAATAGATAGTCTGTATAATTAAACTGTAACCTATCCAGAGAGTGCTTTAAGCATTATGGGATGGTATATAAACAACACACTTTGCTTTGTTCGTTATGCGACTTCAACAGACTTCAACAAATGGGAAACCTTGACGTCTGAGTATTCAGCCTGGAGGCAGGCCATGCAGCATCGCCTCTCCCAATTTGAAAAGACACTTGTACAGCAGGCCAAGGCAAAGAAGCAGTTCCGAAAGGAGCAAAATCAGGGAGCTGGACAGGGGACAGATTGTATTTGTCTTCAGTGTGGAAGGGACTGTCACTCTTGAATTGACCTTCTCAGCCACACTAGACGCTGTTCCAAGTCCTCCATACAGAGCACGTTACCATAGTCTCTCGAGACTGAAGGATGCCTACACTATGTGACTGATACAATCCTGATGTGGCTACTGTATGTTTTTTTATATTGTGTTTATGGCCATGGCCAAAAAGGAAAAAAAAAGTTGGGAATATCTCTGTCAGGGACTATGGCCATGAAGCAACCCAAGTGCCTGAAAGAATAGTTCTGGGTGAAGCAGCTGTGTCATTCACATGACTGTTTTCCAATGAGCCGAGCAGTGTTCTGTATACCTTAAAGATATAGTACCCACTAGACCTGGGTTCCCTCACTTCTCACATTCCCAGCTTTCAGGAACTGCCCCTTCAAAGTGCTTCAAAAGCCCTGAGGTGACATGTTCCTACAGAACCCCCCCCCTCCTCAAAACCATGCCTTTCGTGATGGGCTGGAGTCAAGGGGGAATATGTCGGGGCGGGGGGAGAAATGGACTTTGCTGTCCCTCAGTAGACTGGATGGGATAGGTATTGGCAAGATCCTATGGAAGTCTGAGTCTAAACTCAACATTTTACAGAGAAAAACGTGTTTTCATTATGAACTAAAGCTTTAAAGAAATCTTGCTAAATTACTCCACACATCAAGACAGCCTGTTAAGAGCTTGTTCACCCATATGTCATTTTTCATCTCCAACGAGAGAATGCTTCCCCCCCATCAATATTTCCGCCATTTGGGAAAGATGAATGTGCAAAACGAGTGACTTTTCTCTTTGTGAAGAAAAGAACACATCCAACAATTCTTGAAGAACCTGCTGGTTGTTCAAAACGACAGAAACAAACCATCTAATGTTCCTGGTGCTTAGAAGTCGATGCAGCAGCCATTGTAATGGAGCCGCACTACTTAGACAATTAGTCCAAATATTGTTTTTGCCATTACGGAAAGTCTTATTGAGATTGGCAGAAAATATCTCCCCATCTCACAGGCAGGGAATATGTTTTTGCAGCTCCTTGTGCTCACTGGTGAAAATGAGACGAGGTAGGATTTACATTCTCACTGTGAAAATTCACAGAACACATGCAAATAGAGAGTCTACTATACAGCGGAAAGAACAGAACTCAACTCTTGAACTGCTGGATAGCTTAGTGGTTTAGATAGAGGTTGGGAGTTCTGTTCCCTCTCATGCCTCCTTGACAGCCGTTGCAGCTCCTTGTGCTCACTGGTGAAAATGAGACGAGGTAGGATTTACATTCTCACTGTGAAAATTCACAGAACACATGCAAATAGAGAGTCTACTATACAGCGGAAAGAACAGAACTCAACTCTTGAACTGCTGGATAGCTCAGTGGTTTAGATAGAGGTTGGGAGTTCTGTTCCCTCTCATGCCTCCTTGACAGCAGTTGGACTCAGTGATCCTTCCAGCTCTGCAGTTCTAAGATTATTTGTTTTATTTATACAGGAAGCAAATCTTTGGGAAACTTTTTTGTTTAATTGGTGAGGCCTAATTTGTACATATCTGTTCCCTCTCATGCCTCCTTGACAGCAGTTGGACTCAGTGATCCTTCCAGCTCTGCAGTTCTAAGATTATTTGTTTTATTTATACAGGAAGCAAATCTTTGGGAAACTTTTTTGTTTAATTGGTGAGGCCTACTTTGTACGTTGGGGACGTGGTGGCACTGCGTGTTAAACTGCAGAAGCCTGTGCTGCAGGGTCAGAAGACCAGCAGTTGTAAGATTGAATCCACACGATGGAGTGAGCTCCCGTCACTTGTCCCAGCTCCTCACCAACCTAGCAGTTCGAAAGCATGTAAATGCGAGTAGATAAATAGGTACCACCTAGTGGGAAGGAAAACGGCACAGCCTAGTCATGCTGGCCACGTGACAATGGAAACTGTCTTCGGACAAGCGCTGGCTCTACGGCTTGAAAAACGGGATGAGCTCCGCCCCCTAGAGTCGGACACGACTGGACAAAAAATTGTCAAGGGGAACCTTTACCTTTACCTTTACTTTGTACCTAGACCTACTGATTAGCTCTGTGCCCCAGCTGACTTTAGCCTGGCCCATGGACCAGTGGCTGCAAAATCCTTCAGAACATCATCCGCTCTTAGAGGCACCTCCAGTCTGAAACATTACAAGCCACTTTCAGTGTGGCATATCTTTTACACTATGCACGTTCAGTGAATCTTTTCTCTATAGCAGATGTTGTCAAGTCTGGTAAAGAAATAATTTCTCCCTACACGAAGGAGAAAAATGAAGTTTCCTATCTTAATAGCAAGAAGACCAGAAGCCTAGGAGAGACCAGCCAGGAATTGGCACCCTCAGCTTTTTATGTAACCAAACAGGTTGCTTTCTATTAAGTATGAATATGCATATTTACAAGATTAGGTGGTTGTTAAACGAAGCATAAAGATGATATAAGATAACAAATGCATTCCTCCTGCACACACAGAACTCCCCAGTCTTTTTCTACTGGAAGACATTTAGCAAACTTGTAGCTCATCTTGTGTGGGCTGGATGCCTGCTGTGGGTCTGTTCAGAGTGCTGAATCTTTCACCATCTAAGAAAAGCTGAGAGAGGAGAAACACCCCCCCCATTTGTTTCTTGCAGCCCAGGGTTTTGTTAAAAGGATGAGGGTTATATGAGGTAACTTAGAATCCTGTATCATCTGTTGTCTGTCTAAAGTACTTTTCGTGGACAGGAAGGCATCCTTATTTTCCTGTTTCTCAACAGTTTTTCCCCCCCACTGAAATCAGGAAAGCTATGTGTGTAGATATCATAAGGACCTTAGATTTAAACTGCTCTTTTGCCACCATATCTCCTCCTCCAGCATAGAGTCTGTTTACACTATGAAAATGAATCAATAACTGGATTGTTTTTTTTGAATTTGGATTAAAGTCATGTAGAAGTCACATGGTATTTAGATTGATGTGTGTGTCCTCTTGGGAAAACTTTTAATCCATATTTAAGCTGTGTTGTATATCAGTTGAGGGGCTATGCAAGCTTTTAAAATGCTTGCAATTGAGGCTTTGTCAAGGGCCCCTGTCCCTGTTCCAGCCCTTTCCTGGGAAGCACAGAGAAGCTGTATGAAGGATGAGAGCACAGAGAGAGAGAGAGAGAAAGGGAGGGAGGGAGAGAGAGAGAGAGAGGGCTGCTAGGGACTGGAAGGAGAAGGAAAATATCCTGGCCCTTTTCGGCTCCAAAGAACAAAGAGGGCCCCAAACCACTATCAAGTCATAGGGTGTCATTTGTGACCACACACTACACCCACAGAGATCGTGGTCCTTTAGTGTAGTGGTCCCCAACCTTGGGCCTCCAGATGTTCTTGGACTACAACTCCCAGAAGCCTTCACCACCAGCTCTGCTGGCCAGGATGTCTGGGAGTTGAAGTTCAAGAACATCTGGAGGCCCAAGGTTGGGGACCACTGCTTTAGTGCATGGCTTTGCAGTGGTACAAAAACATTGATCCAAGGCATGGATCCTTATGGATCTACATAATTTTTATGCAGAATCACCCTGAAACCACTGTCCAATCTGTGGGTACAAAATGGAATCTATGATTTGACAGTGGTTTGGGGGCAGATCCCATGTAAAAAAATCATGTGGATCCATGAGGATCTGGGCCTCGAATCCATGTTTTGCCCCATTGCAAAGACGGCTCTTTGCTCCTCACTTAGGCTACACATCTCATCCACCTCTTGCCTTCCACCCTACACTTCAGGCTTTCCCACGTGTCTTCCTTATGCTTTGCTAAATTGCAGTGAGTGGTGGGAGTGGCAAACCCCACAGGCACAATTTACACCAACAGAGGCACTCTCATATGCCACATGGTTCAAACTCAATAGATTTCACAAGCAAGTTAAATTAAATGACCCTCTTGATCAGGGAGGATTGATCAAAGAAGGAGCAGCTGTCTCGTTCTCCTATTTGTTCACTTCCTGCCATCCTTTATGTGGCATGGAGGCAGGGAGTGGTCTCAATCAGCCCAATCTACCATATCACCCAGTGAGAGGTGGTGAGTCAGGGAGACAATGGTGGTAGCTCCTCCTTCTGTACTGTTGAAGGCCTTCTTCACCGAAATGCTGGAGGACAAGAGCTGAACTCTCTGTCAGCAGTTTCCTACATGTTTAGCAAATAGTCATCTCTGGATTCACCTTGACATGGACTCTGATATGAAGGCAAATCAGGCTGATGCATCTTTTGGCAACCACATATCTTGTTATTTGAGCTTCCTTTATCTCAGCAACATAGAAGGTCTCTAGAGCAGTGAGACTTATGACTTATTTGCTCAGACCTTGCTTTTCCAGGCTGATTCAATGCACCATGATGGAACTGACACTGTAGTTAAGAGAGATCATTAATGCCTCCTGGAGTGTTTCCTCCTGTTCAAAGGAAGCAGTAGTAAGACCTTTACTAAAGAAACCTGTCTTCAAACTAAGAGTTTTAACCGATCTCACATCTATCATTCTTGGTCAATTGAACTGAGAAGAGTTTGAGCTCCGCATGAAAGACCAAGTTCATAACATGGGGTGCTCCTTGAACTCTGTGCTGTCCTTGGTCACTCAAGTGGTGATGGTATCAAGGAATGCTTTTGCACAGATCTGAGTGGCAAACCCAAAGGTTCCCCTTGACAATTTTTGTCCAGTCGTGTTCGACTCTAGGGGCCGGTGCTCATCCCCGTTTCCAAGCCATAGAGCCAGCGTTTGTCCGAAGACAATCTTCCGTGGTCACGTGGCCAGTGCGACTTAGACACGGAACGCTGTTACCTTCCCACCGAGGTGGTCCCTATTTATCTACTCGCATTTGCATGCTTTCGAACCGCTAGGTTGGCAGGAGCTGGGACAAGCGACGGGAGCTCACTCCGTTGCGTGGATTCGCTGTTACGACTGCTTGGTCTTCTGGCCCTGCAGCACAGGCTTCTGTGGTTTAGCCCGCAGCGCCACCACGTCCCTTCTAAGCGATAGGTTTCTTGAATTGACCTGATTTTGGAACAACCATTCATGCCTCCATGACATTGCTTCTTGACTATGGCAGTCCATTCCAAGAGGGGCTACCCTTGAAGAGTGCCAGGGATCTTAAAATGCAATGTCTGGGAGCCAGAATGTTTTACTGGTGCACAGTATCAAGATTATATGACCAGGCCTTCCGAGAGCTTAAATAAAGCCACTGGGAGGTTTCTCATTATTTGGATGTTAATCGAGAGGAATCTAAATCCAAATCAAAGTAGATCTCACAGATGATTGTCCAGTTTTTATCCTGAATACCTATATATATCTACAGTACTTTGTTTTGGATATATATATATATGGCAGTTTGCAAATACAAGGGAATTGCTAGCTTTGAGGGTATATATATATAATATATAAATCTCTCCTCAAAGCCTGCAGTTCCCTTGTATTTGCAAACTGCCATTTAACAAATGTTTGGTTGGTTTTTCTGATGTGTGCTTATTTCATTTATTTTATTAGTCTTATTTAGTCTGCCTTTCTCCCGAGGAAGGAACAGCTTATTTTTTTAACTAATTTGATTATTATGTTTTTAATGATTTTATTACATAATGTGATTTTCACCTTTTTTTTAAAAAAAAATCTGTTCCTAATTTGTTTTCACGTGTTTTAGCTGTTTGGAGTGCCTTTTTTAAAAAAAAGCGGAAAAGAGGGATATAAATGGAATAAACCATATAGGGTGGCCACTGCTGGCTCGTTCCCTCTTCCTGAATGGAGAAGACGTGCTTGTTGCATTGCATTGTTCAAAGAAGCAAGAAACACAAGCTGGGAAAGCATCCCAAAGGGAGAAGACAGGGAAGCCGTTTGTCGAGAGAGAAGGGAATGGGTCTGCCCAGCCCTTCCTGCAGAGAGAAGGAAAACAGAGTGATCATTTGGAAGCAGGGGAGGATGCTGGAAGAGATCTCTCCCCCCCCCCTTCTTTCTTGGCTCATCCTCTCGTTCTGCATGGCACATTGCTGATGCCAGGCAGGAACGTCTGCAAGCAAGAGAAGGTAGCAGCTGTTCCTCTCCTCTCTTTGTGGCTCAACCCCTCTGGGCATTGTGACATGGTAGATGATTAGGCCTGCAGTCCTGCCTAAGGGTGGAAAAGCTCTTTCAGCCTGGAGGCGCAATCCGGTTTGAGATAATATAAAAGCTGCGAGACGGACCCCCTTTTAGCTCCCTACATAAACTTGAGAAATCCTAACCTTCTGCACTCACTTGTCTTTTACCTTTTTGTTTTCTTCACAGTGGCTGAGAAAACCAAAGAGCAAGTGTCGAATGTGGGGGGAGCGGTGGTGACCGGAGTGACCGCTGTAGCGCAGAAGACGGTGGAAGGCGCGGGAAATATAGCTGCAGCCACTGGTTTTGTCAAGAAGGACAAACAGGTTTGTTCAGCCAGTGGAATAAGTTTAGTTCTAGAAGGGGCATTTATTTATTTATTTATTTATTTATTTATTTATTTATTTATTTATTTATTTGTTTATTTATTTATTTATTTATTTATTTATTTATTTGTTTATATCCCGCCCATCTGGTATATTTATACCACTCTGAGCGGCTAACAACAGTATATATACAATTAAAATAATATAAATCCATGAGCATCGATTATTGACAAAACATACTAAAAATAATAAATGATAGATAGATAAGAAAAAGAGAGAATTAAATTAAATTAAATTAAATGCTGGCAGGAGGGTAGCCGTGTTTGTCTGTGCAACCATTATAGGTGAAAACCAAGTAGAAATATAAAATGGGGGGAAAAAAGACAAAAAGCTGGTGGCACTTTAAAGGCTAACTTATATTTTTTAATATGAGCTTTTGTGGACAAGTCCACTTCTGGTCTATGAAAGCCAATTATGAGCTTTTGTGGACAAGTCCACTTTTGGTCTATGAAAGCCAATGCTTTTTTCTTCTTTTTTTCTTCTTTTTATTTCTATTTGGTTTCCACCTATAATGGAATAAGTTTGACACTGAAATTGTTTTTTCTCTCTGGATGTTTCTTTCCTTTATAGAAAGCTTTCCACGCTTAACTTGCTGCATCTGGTTTTTTTTTTTTCACATTCTCTCTCTTCTTCACAAAGTCTAGACCCATGATTCCTAATCTTGTGTTCCTGGACTGCATTTCTCAGAAATCTGGTGGTGAAAACCTCTGGGAGTTTTAATCCAAGAATAGAGATGGGCACAAATCAGCAGTTTGTGCCAGTTTGTCCTTTGGCCAAACAAGTGTTTGATCGTACTCAGCCCTGCCTCCTTCAATAGGCTCCCTCTAAGAGGCAACACCGTGGCTTCCCTTCCCCAGCTCCTCCAAGTGTTGCCTCTTAGCGGGCACCCACCAGAGAGAGCAGGGCTAGGAATCCCCGAACACCTGTTTGTCCAAAGGATGGAATCAGTGAACTGGTGGTTTATGCCCAACTCTATCCAAGAACATCTGGGTACCTAAGTTTGGGTACCACTGGTCTAGATCAAGATTGGAGGATGTGTAGCCCTCCAGATGTTATTGGGCTGCATCTCCCATCAACTGCAAAAACAAGGGCAAGAGATTGTATCAGTCCAGTAACACCTGGAGGCCTTCCCATTCTCTAATCCTGGGGAAAACAATGCCTGATGAGTTGGACTTGTATTATGCATTGCCCTTTTCATTTCACATCAGCGTTTTATGCCCTCTCCCACCAGACCACACACCACTGATGGTTGGAATAGTGTGATGCACAGTCCTATGACAACCTTTCTCCATTTGTGTCTTAATTTGTTGCATTCTTTTAAGATCACTGTTTCTCCCAGGAGGTTCAGAAAGTATATAGGATTCCTCTCTGTCCTTTTCTCCCAATTTTATTCCCATGACAACAATATGTGCAATCCATTAGAACAAGATATAGTCATTGGTGCAAGTGGACTGTATCAGTTTTTTTTAAAAGGTCAGAGCTATTTCACATCACTTGTAACCTGGTTATTTTTTCCTGGAAATGCCAATGGTTGTACCAAGAAACCTCTCAGAGTTTGGAAAAAGCACTTGTCTGTAATAACTACGTATGTACTTTTTCATGAGCCTTGTGGTGCAGTGGTTAAAGTACTGCTATCAAGTCTCTGGTTACAACCTGAGATTGATCCCAACGGGCTAAGGTAGCTCGTGGGGAAGGGGCAGGGTGTAGCCTGCGTAATTAAATAGTAAACTGCCCCGAGAGTGCTTTAAGTACTATGTAAGGTAAAGGTTCCCTCGACATTTAGTCCAGTTGTGTCCCCACTCTAGGGGTGGTGCTCATCCCCGTTTCCAAGCCATAGAGCCAGCATTTGTCTGAAGACAGTTTCCATAGTCACGTGGCCAGCGCGACTAGACACAGAATGCCGTTACCTTCCCACCAAGGTGGTACCTATATATCTACTCACATTGACATGCTTTTGAACTGCTAGGTTGGCAGGAGCTGGGACAAGCTCACTCCGTCGCGTGGATTCGATCTTACGACTGCCGGTCTTCTGACCCTGCAGCACAGAGGCTTCTGGGGGTTAACCCGCAGTGCCACCACGTCCCCTAAAGCACTATGTAGCTCAGTGCCACCACGTCCCCTAAAGCACTATATAGCTGTATAAAATCAGCACACTTTGCTTTGTTTCATGTTATTGACCTGCAGTTCCAAGAATTGTGGGAACTGCAGTCCACAAAACCAAATCTGCACACCTGTATATTTCTACACAAACACACACAGAGAAGAGAAAGGGTGGAGAAGTCAACATTGAAAGCCCTTCCCTGGCAATGGTGGGACGAAACCTACATGTGTGCAAATTTGGATATGTGGCTTCAATTCCCAGAATTCTTAGAGAATTCTTGGAACTGCAGTCCAAAACCATGAAAGAGCACACCCCTAGTAATAATAATCTTCATTTCCCATCCTACATGTAAACTATAGACTCTAGCACTGATCTGAGTGTAGTTCGCTTACCCCCCCCCAAAAAAAAAGACAGGAAAAGACATGGATTGCCCACACTTTGTAATATCTGACAAAACCCATAGGAAACTGTATTTTATGACTTAGTGTTGCCTTATTTCAAAAGAACTCAATTGCACAGTACTTCTGTATTCATGTGTTTTTCCTGCACTCTTCTGCTGTTTCAAAGCACATAGTGATGGATGGGTAACAGAAACTATGAGTTACTATAAATTTTGCGTAGCTTCTGTGTATAATACCATGTTCAAGCATTTACTAGTAAAAAGTGATGAATCACTGGAGAATTTAGTAGAAAACTGGTAAGAAAGAAGGTGTCATCTTTTTGTAATATAATGTGGAGTTCCTTGTCTATCTGGTTCAAAAATGCTGTTTTATTTATTCTTTGTGAAGCCATGTTCATGTTGGTGTAAAGTCTGATTCCAGTTTCTCATGTTTTGGGCTGTGCAGGGTAACTGTAAGGAAGCCCTGCACCATATTTGCCCACTGACTTAAATTCTGTTTCCACTGCTTACTATTCTTGACTTTCTCAGTTGAAAACCTTAAGGTTCCATCTGCTTGCATTAACAATAGCATCCTTTGTTCTAGTTGGGGAGGGAACTGATCTTATCACTGGATTATAAAAAGTGTAATTTTGAACCTGCTTTTGTAATGTGCTTATCTAAGCTTTAAAAACTCCTCTCCACTTTGTCAGATTGCTCATGTCCATAGAAGAAAAGAAGATCAGTACCATGTATTTCAATTTTATTGTCCTCTGTTCCTTTCCAGTAAGCACCTTAATACATAAATAAGAACTTGGGAGAAATCATATATGACAGCATGCACGGGGATTATTTTATTTTATTGCTAGTAGCTACAGCAGGAAAGGGAAATACAGCTTCCCTAGCCACTTGTGTATCTTTTCTAAAGCTTCCTGCCGAATTTGTGAACGCTCTGATGTAATCCATTTTCCTCCCTCTCATCATATCAGTGCTTGGATTCCCAGGTCTCAGGGTGCTCTCTACAGTTTCAGGAAATGCTTGTGCATCTCTGGAGGAGACAAATTTCATGGGAAGTGGCATTAGATGAGAAGGAGTTTTGCTATGTGTGTACAACGTGGCTTTGACGTTTAGACACCCATCTCTAGCCATCCCCAGCTGGTACCAAGGCTCACTGGCTTAGCACAAAGGCATGTTTATGTGTGCTTCCATTCCAGCTCTTGACTGCTCCATATTTGTGACATCTCATGACACTACAAGGTTCATCCCTATGAAATCCCATGGGTTGCACCATGTCAACAAATGGAGGGAGCAGATGTTGTCAGGCAGAAGATCCCAAGAGTGAGAGTATTCCCATCCTAAAATCAATGTGTCCTGTATTTAATTCTGATGTATTCCTGGAAGAAAGGAGCAAGGGGATACTGCTGCTGATAGTGCCACTGCAGGAACTATTACAACATAGAGACTTCTATCAGCTGCAGCCCAGCATAGTCAAAGTTACAAATTAGAGATGTAGATTGCAAGTCCTTTCATGTCCCTGTTGTTGGCAATGCTGATCCACATTCACCAGCTTCCTGAGAATACACTGGATTAGGTCCATAGCTTATCACACATTCAAAATCAATTGTAATTGCCACTGATTTCCCCCTACTATTGATTCATTTCCATTTAAAATACAACCTGTTTGAGGATTATATTAATCTTCCATTAAATACTTGTTCAACACACAGTAGAAAGGATTTATTATGGCAGCGAAATAATGCAAAATAAATGTGTCTATTTCTAACAGCATTTGTACTCATATGTCATAAAATTCTCTGGTAGTTTATGAGATCCCACTGGACACCCTTTTATCATCCAGAGTGGCTGAGGCATAATTTAAAGAGAGATCACATCAGTTTCTAATAGAGGGCAGGTATCTGTTTTAGAAGGAAGTCACAAACAAAGGCTCAAAATGGATGGATGTAAATGAGCTTGCCTATATTGTTTCGCATGGAGAAACTGAAGTTTCTATCTTTCTAGTCTCTAGTGAGCTACTCAGAGTGAAAACTAAAACATAGTGTTACCTGGTGAGACCCCATTACTTTGTCTGCCACATCACTCTTGCATCACCCTTGAAAGAACAACAGGACAAAAAAGTACAGAAGATTAGACTCACCCCAGCCCTGTTCCTGCCCCCTTAGTTTTAATGTCCCACCTGATAAAAGGAAAATATTCTTCAACGTTTCTTCAATATTTTTTAAAAATAAATGCACACATTTGTGGATTTTTGTTGGTGTATAAAAGTATCGTCTCAGTATTGAGCAGAAATCCCACCTGATAAAAGGAAAATATTCTTCAATGTTTCTTCAATATTTTTAAATATAAATGCACACATCTGTGGATTTTTGTTGGTGTATAAAAGTATTGTCTCAGTATTGAGCAGAAACGGGCAGTGAACTCAAGTAGCAGCAGCTGAGGATCAAA